AGAGAGAGAGAGAGAGAGAGAGAGAGAGAGAGAGAGAGAGAGAGAGAGAGAGAGAGAGAGAGAGAGAGAGAGAGAGAGAGAGAGAGAGAAGGCAGAGGATTCCTTGGGTGGAAGTTTACTCGGCACAACCCATTATTCTGCCACAGCGATGACATGGTTCTGGCTCCTTGGCCGAGTCATTCATGTGGGCGTGCCTGCGGAGACCGGGTAGATCATGCTCCAGAACTGCTTCAAAAGCATCTGCTGCATCCTTCAGGTTTTGTGCACTGCATAGAAACACGATCACCAAAACACGATCACCAAAACACGCAAAAATTGAAACCAAATGTCCGCGAGGGCGGCCAATAAGACAACAACCCCACTCATGGGCGTGGGTCCGGGGAGATGCACGTGGATGAGCAACCAATTATCCAATCCACCAATTATTAATTTATTATCCTACTATAAATTCAAGAAAGTCATCCAAAAATTTTGCTGGCATGCCATGGACATGACAGAAAATTAATTTACCACCACACTTAACTCTCATTCTCCATTTGTCCACGTCAAAGCCTTCCTACCGTCCTCACCCGAACAGAATGCCCAGTCATTATAGCTGTATTTGGGGCAATTTTCAGTCCAGATGCAGCAATATTGACCATGCGTTCTATTATTTGGGGCAATTTTCAGTCCAGATGCAGCAATATTGACCATGCGTTCTATTTTTTGGGGCAATTTTCAGTCCAGATGCAGCAATAATGACCATGCGTTCTGTTCGGGTGAAGACGGTAGTCTCTTCCCAATGTTCACCCACACTTAAGCATCATCATCACTGCACATCAACTCCGCTTGTTATTTGCCCAAAAGAGAAACATGATGAATACATTTTGAAATATACAACATGGACTCTCCCACTGTATGTATTAATTGCATTGACATGAGAGTCATGATGAGAGTCATGAGACCCATCACAGCTGGGCACAAGCTTCTCGGAAGAATTCGATGGAAAGAAAGATGGATCTTCTCTTCTGAGAACTGAGAGCCTCTTCAAATCAAAAGCTCGTTTGGGGGTTACAAAAATGGGTGAAACCCTTTGGTGAAACCGGCCTTCGAAGTTCAAAGCCAAATGATGTTCAAAATTCAAATAATGGCACACCGCAAGGGGATGGAGGGAGGGCATTGATAAACCAAAGGGTTCACAGAATGGCAAGGCGGGAAGGGTTCAAAATTCGAATCATACATGCAAGGGGACGCCGTGCGGAATATTCCGCATGTTTGGCGCACGAGCGGACCCGCACGTTCCGCCACACGGCATTTGCGACGCACGGGGGAAACATTCACTCAAAAAAAAAAAAAGGGGGTTGCATGGTCAATGGTCCTGCGTTCCCTTAAAACATTTGTTGTGGGGTGAAAAAAAAAAAAAAAAACCTAGCAGGAGGGGCCATGCCGCTACCTAAACGTCAAGACTGATGTCCCAGACACCTTTTCGGGGCTATTTCTCATGCCCAATTGGACGGAAAGAAAAATCTGTACGACTGTACTTGAAAAAGATCAGTTCCTTAGGTGTTGCACTTTTCTGCGTCTAAAAAAAAAAAAAAAAAAGGTAAACTGCCACTGGTACGGCACACAAGCAGGTGACATGCCGCACGCCGTGCGGCGCACCGGACTGTACGGCGCACGGTGCGGTTGCAAGTACGGTTCAAATAATGCCGAGGACGGCAGGGTGCAAAAAAAATAATGGCAAGCGAAGGGTAAATAAAGAGTGCCACAGGGGTAAAGAGTGCTGCAGGGGTCAGTCCGGAAGGGTTCAAATAATGGCACAAGGCGAAGGGGTGGCAACACTGGCGAGCGAAGGGTACACAGTGCCGCAGGGGTCAGTAAGATCCCCAGGATCAGTATGAATCTCATGTTAACAAAGAAAATCGTATGTAACACAGAGGCCGCGTTGGGTGGAGGAGGAGGTCCGGGAGAAGACAGCAGTTTCGCCAGACAGGAGGGAGAGGAACAGTCAGGAAGTCGAGGTGAGAACGGACAGCAATAGACGGTACAGTTTGGGACACGGAGAAGCGACCCGTGAACCGAATCGTCGCTCTATCTAGATTGAAAATTGCATTTGAATCATGATTGATACAGTTTGGGAATTCTCATCTCAAAGTCAAATGCTATTTCCCAATTTCCCCCCACAATTTCGGAAACACCAGTTTGTCAACATACAGCGATGACGACTGGACGTTCTATTCAGGTGAAGACCGTAGGCGGGGGAGGCAATTATTATCTGAAGAGGGTTTCAACCACAAGTCATTACCACTTATGGTAGGAAGGAAGGCTTTGAGCGCCCCCCCCCCCAAAAAAAAAAAACCGTGAATTGGAGGAGGGTTTG